CCCCAAAACCCCAAAACCCCAAAACCCCAAAACCCCAAAACCCCAAAACCCCAAAACCCCTTATTTTAATCAATTTATTGAATTATATTCAATTAATTATAGTGAAGCTACTAATGGAAGGACCAATATCTGATCTACAACTTGACATAGACGATTTTTCTTCAGATGATGATTTCCCACAAATTATTTCAGATGCCCCATTGAGGAACTTACCTCCTCACTTGAATTTACAAAGTAAGCAATAAAAATAACTAAAAAGAATAAATTCTAAAAATACCTTACCTTATGTAAGCTTAAATTTTTATTCTTTAAGTTCAAAATTTTAGAGGATTAACTGCTTTTCCTAAAATAATCAAAGAGGTCTCTATTTTCAACTTCTCTAAAAAATTTATTAAGCTTGTCTAAGTCTCTTTCATAATAATGAAGGGAAGATAATTACCATAATTCCCGGATGAGTCATCTTATTAATGTATGTAAAAACCCAATTTTGGCCTCCAGAGAGTAAACATTAAGGGTATAAACATATTAGGAGGTGGGGAATAAACTGTTGGAGATTTTACTACCAGTACACTGGTGTCCCAAATATGCTAAATTTTGTTATACAACCTGTTTATAAAATGTTTCTGATACGCTCTGAATTCATGAATTGGAAAATAATATAGAAGCAGGGATGTGCGATTTACACAAGAAGGTTTACCCTTGTTTTTTAAATTTGTATTCAAGATTTACACTATTTACTTCTAAAATTTCTTTCAAAATACATTTTGCAGTATCATGGTTTATTTATAGGGAATATTTCAGAGCCAACTGCTCCGATGATGGACCATTTTAATACAAATAGGAGGAAGGACTTTCAGAGCAACAAGGATAAAGTAATTGTTTATTCATAAACTTGTAGATTCAATTCATGATTGATTATCAAAACCAGTTAAATAGTGAAAATCTGAGAGCTCATAATATAAAACAGGCTATTCAAAAGCAAAACGAGGTTCTTTTATCTAATCCTAACTTCAAGAAGTTGAAGAAACCTAGTAAGGAAGTAAAATAATATGTAGACTTGAAACTGGAAACTAGTGTTGTACTTAAAAAATTTGGACTTGTGAACAATGCTAATATACAAAAGAGAAGAAGATCCCAAGATGGAGTAATAGCTGAAAAATAAGAACAAACCTCTTGATTTCAATGATATGTTTAACCTCAAACAGAAGTTAATTGGAAGGAATGTTATGAGCCCAAAGAATGAAATTGAAGATAATCAGAAAACTTTTGATGAAGCTAGGAACAGAGGAGCTTTATCACCAACTCTTCCTTTAGGAAAGAGTAAATGCCTCTCTCAATTTGATATAGATCTCTCAAAATTCCATAAAAGACATGTTAAAGAAAAGGGAAATATTGATCAACTTAAAAATGATATGTTCATTCTATCTAGTGAGTTTAAAGAAGGAGCATTCCAAACTGATTACATCAGGAAGAAAATAGCTGGGAATAAAAAGAGGGAGAAATTTAGAAAAAGAAATAAAATTAAATCTAGTGAAGTTTCATTAACTTCTACTAACTTGGGAAACAGACTAAAGTAAGATAAATGCTTAATGCTATAAGAAACAAAAATTTATTTGTCCAAATGCCTCATCAATCAAATAAAAGTATGAGGGAAAATAACTCACCTTTAAGGTAAATTAATTGTTTTATTCAAACAGTGATCGTGAAAATATTCATCATCAAAGATCTCAGAACGCTCCTTCTAAAGGAATGAATGTGTCTGAGTCAAGGAAATTGCCAGCAGGAAGGCTTGACTATTATGGTACTCTTCAGTATCCTCTGTCTGCTCACAATATCAATACCATAAGCTCTGGGAAGACTCAGAATTCCTTCCAGCTATATGAATCTGAAGTTGAGCTAGAACTTAATAAGGATATAAGGAACTTGGTATTTGATTTTATTTAACCCTAGACTCCGTCACCCCAACTATCAGAAAGAAGTAAAGGCCCTCTAAAGAAGAGGATGGAGACTAACAAATAAATGTGTCTACATTTTCAAGTACATTTTGCCTGACTTGTAGTATCTTTGATCTTTGTAAGAAAGTAAGATCGATGATTAAATAAATACATTTTGCGTTACAACAAGAAGCTCGAGAAAATCGAATCAGATCAAATAAGCCAAGCAAGATTGAGAGTATCAGCCCTTTATAAGTCATAGGATCGAAAAATATTTGATGAAGCGAGAGAAGAATTAGAGATGAAAAGATCCTTCTTAGAAAAAGTTCAGGCTTCCTCTAAAGCATACTGCGAAAAGAAGAAAAATAGCAATAATGATAATATTAATTGTAGAAATTTAAGCAATATGAGATCTAATAAATTGACAAAAGATGACATCAAGTTCATCGATAAGCAGTTGCTCACACTTAATGAATATCCTCTTGAATTTAAGGACATAATCTATCTATTTGAAAGGGGAGTCGAGAAAATTGGCAGAGAAGATGATCGAAAGATAAATATATTGAAAAATTCAATGTTTATTGCTGGATCAAAACTTCCCCGAAAAATGAAGAAAAAGTTATCTAGCACTTCCCATGTTAGTAATTTGAACTTTCTAAAATTTTAGCAAAGAAAAAGAAATCCATTCAAAAACCACGGATAAAAAGAAATAAGTCAAGGAAGAAGCATAAAGACTTGAGCTTTAAGGATAAGAAGTTGAATCTCGAAAAACCACAGTCTATATTTAACACAAAATCTTCGAACTTGAGCAGTAATAATGAGTCAACTCGATATGTTGATTATCACATCACAATACAGAAAGATGAAAATGAGGAATCTAAGAATGAACAAGAACAAGGAAATTGAATTAATTCAAAGAGAAACCAAGGATCAAATTTATTTGACGATTCTGATTTGCACCTGAGTGAGCAAAGAAGTTGTTCTTCTCAATCTACAGTTGAGAACAAACCTATCAATCCTATTAATTTTAACCAAAATTTTGATCCTGTGAGCATGAAAGATATTAAAAGGCTGTCTGAGCATAGTAATAAGACGAAGGGCAGCAATTCAAGGGTACTTGGTGCTGGATTCAAGTTAAGCTATAAGCCTAAAAATATAAATAAGATTAGGTCTAATATCGTGTCTCCAGGTAACTTATTCACTTAAATCTTAGAGTCTAATAGAAACAGTCAGCTCACAGATCAAAACACTATAGAGAATTCAAGACCTAGGTAATTCAATCCAGTTACTCTCTAGTTTCGTCAATTACAGTGAAGCTAAAAGTTTTTCTCCAGAGAAAAGAGTCAAAGAAATAAAAAAAATTAATCAAAAGAAGTCTAGATCTCCATATCATTCGTAAGTTCTCTGAACTATCCGTAGGAACGGACTATTAATGAAAGAACGATCTGTCAGATCGCCTAAATAAAGGTAAATCCCAAAATGTATTTGTTCAATGGATAATAGAGACAACAGCAAATTCTATGTTTCTTAAGAGTTAGTAAAACTAGGCCCAAGTAATGAGTTCACTCAAATCTTGAAGCAGCAATTCTACAAATTTGAGGCATATGGAACCTCGCTTGGCTCGCTTAGATGCCCTCTAGTGTTTAGGTAGAAGAATCTCTGATGCTCTGAGTCAGAATAATGTTTTGGATAAGTTTTTGTAGAATTTCAGCAAATTTCCAAAATTGTCATGAGCCTTATTTATCTGATCTGAGTTTGTCTCTAAATAAGAAAGCTGTTTTTGGTGGGGTTGTTTCTGTTATTATTTTGATATTTAAAGTTTATACAGGGGTGAGTAGAAAGAAAAACTCGAAGAAAAATGTGAGATTCAACAAGATTGAAAATAGTAAGAAGAACATGGTCAATCCTCACAGAGAAAAACTCTCTAAAGATATGATCAATAAAAAGGATCTTATACATCGGATAAGAAAGGGAGTTCTGAGTCCTGGGAAGATGGGAATATTCCAAACAAGATATAAATCACCACAAATCAAGGATATAAACTACATCACTATGCCTAATTTTAAGGTTGATAGAGGTAGAAGAAAGATATCTAAAATGGGTGGGCTTCAAACTATGTTTCAGTTTGATAATTCAAATCAAGGATCTTCTACCAGAGTTCCTCAAAACCTACATCTTAATCGAACCTTGAACAAACAAAGAGATACTAGAAGACTAAGTACAACCCATCTTTCCTAACCTCTATAGCTAACTTCGGGCCCTCTCCTACGAGAAAAATGGTAATAAACCACCCAATCCTAAAGAAACAGACCATGAACACTGAACTCCTCAAAAACCTAGACAACGAAAGAGTAATCTCCTTCACAACCCATAGAACCCCCATTCTAACCCCAACACATTTTTCGAAGTAATCCCAGAAGAATCTCAGAACAAAAAATCTGCCAAGAAGAACAAGCACTGAAATCCCTCTAATTACTCCTAAATATTCCTTGACTTCCACCTTCCTCTTAACCTCGTTTACACTGGGCTCTTGGGCTCCTAAAGGGAGGAATAGGGAAGTGGCTGCCTGCAGAGAGACTGAAGAATGGGATTGTTAAGGTAGATGGGGAGAGGTGCTGAATGGAGGGAAGGAGGGGGATTTGGATAGGGTTGGAGGAGTGGGGGTTTGGGGGTTTAGAGGTGGTTTTGAGGGAGATGGGTGAAATTTGGAGGAGATAGGTGAGTGTTGAGGGTGAGATGAAGTGTTGGCTTTTTTGGATTTGAGAGGTGTATGGTATTGATTTTATTGTTTCTATTTTGATTAAACTCGTATTATTATTTTGTTTTTAAAAATGAATATTTGTTGACATTTTCAACTTTGAGTCATTAATAAGGGGTTTTGGGGTTTTGGGGTTTTGGGGTTTTGGGG